TGTGTTGCCCGCCAATAGCATTGAGTTGCATACCCTTGCTCTGGAATATAAGCAGAGTCGTCCATACGCGTGCTGCTATCTAGCGAATATTTGGATCGGTTAGGACGCTTCTACCACCCAATATTCCATATTCAGTTTCAACATGGCGTTTAATGGAGAAGGTCCATTGATCAAGCGTCAGCGAACAGACCTTGAAACCGGCCAGCACAGGGTAAGTTGTTTGGAAATATTGAATCGTGTGAGGATTTTACAAAAACATTAATATGTATGATCTTCAGTATTAAGACATGGTACACAGTAAACTGAATAAATCATTGGCGTCATGTGATTCCGGCGCCATTAATTGTGCAACTTGTAGTCATGTTTATAAATGTTTTTCGTTGCCAGTGCTGTTTATGTGATAGGAGACACATTTTAACAGTTGAAGACTCAATTACTGTGCCCAGACGATATATTATTATATTTTCTTGGAAGATTAGAAAGATTTGGTGAATGTGCATACAAGTATGGAGAAAATTCAGACGTGTCTTTTGTTAATATTCCGGTGACCTCGGTTATGACGCCGTGTTGTCTGGTAGATGGTACGGAGGCTTCAGAGGAACATAGTGACTCCATCTTCAGGGTAGAAACTTCAAATTTAATGTTTGTATATAATCCATGTAGTTATTTTTATTCATTGATTTTTATGTGGGGCGTTGGACCAATCTTGTTTTGCACCCCATATTAGTAATTTCCAGAAATGTCATAGTAGCGTTCGTCGTAAGAAGGAATAACGCCGGGCAACGGTTATATCAATAGAGCCCTCCATGAATAGTTCTTGTGGTGTGTTTTAGAGACTCATGCGAAACTATCACTGAGTAATGTAGCGAAGTGTATGAGATAATATTTATGTACAGGGATTAAAAGTGCATGTGAAGTACAGTTCTCAACTCCACAAACAAAAGCAAAACAAACTCTGCTGCCTGTAGTCCCCAAGCCAACTATACCGACCGAGCGACCGCCGCTTGTCGGCAAAGTTAGTGCCAACTTTTGCGGATAGAGGGTGTCACGTGGTCAACGCAGCAGATCCCCACAATCGTTAATGTCGGTTTTCTATACCAGAGCCGCATTTTCCTTGGAACAGCTCCTCAAGGCTGAGCAGACTGCATTCCAGACACACTATCTCTCAGAAAATCAGGTAGCGCCGGGAATCGAACCCGGGACCTCTGGATCTGTAGCCAGGAACTCTGACCAGTAGACCACAGAGGCTGTTCCTCATCTTAACACCATATTAAGAAGAAGTGCATATATGTAATTATTAACCACTCTGGCAATCCGTGTAGTGAGGGTTTCATGTTGTCATTTCTGTTATTAGCTTTAAGTGATTTTTTGTTTAATTATTGTAGCTGAAATGACAACAAGCAAGTGCTTTCCTGAGATAATTTTATTTATATCCTTAATATGTGAGAATCCCTTGGTACTGGATGGTAGATGAGAGAAGTGGGTCAATTGGTAATATGAGAATTGAGAGGGACATTGGGGTATGTACCCTAATGCCACTTTGTCCACCATAAAACCCACATGAACTGACCTGAGACTGAACCCAGGTTGCCATGGTAATATTCCTGCAAATGCCAGAGATGATCTTTTGGGGGGTGCTAACTGATAGCTTTATTTTCAATTTTGGAAGTTCACAGGTAGTTTATTCCATTCTGTTAAAGTGATTCCAAACTTCTTTGTATATGGTGGCATTGTAGACATACCCAATCCTCTTGTTACAAAGGAGTGTGCCACACAATACAACGCACGCAGCCACATAAGAAAGACACATCATAAGACACAGTATATACACAATTAAAACATATGAAGAAGGACTCCCATAGCAGATGAATGGCATTACACACGAGTTTGATATACGACATGTAAGATGATAGATCTTAACAAGTTTTAATATATAAATTTTATTATTGAACAACGACGAACACACATTTTATATCATTTTATAAATGGACACTTGATGGCAGGCAGTGCAATGGTTTAACGTGATTAATACACCTGAGGATGGCAGAATGATGCTGAAACATGTAGTGTGAAGTGACAAGTGAAATTGTATGCACTAAAAGATGGTTAATATATACACATTATGAGCGTGCCACATTTCAGCTGAAAACACTTACTTTATTTCTTAACAGTTAAGTTATTGGTCATTAGTTCTCTATATACCATGCAGATTATCATTTTTGGCAGTAAAAGCAGAGACAGTTCACTCAGTAATCTGTATTATTTCATACAAAAGTGACATCTTTTATTTTCTTTCTTTGTCATGTTCTGTACAGAGCTCATCCTTATGCCATTTTCTGTTTATGGTTTGAATATTTGAAAAATGAAAAACTTATTTCTGTACTCTTCAACAATACTTTCATAAGGGGCCTTTTTAATTATTATTTTCATATATGAGCTAATATAAAAGCATTCAACAGTGGCAGATGTGTTCCGCATATAATGAGTTACTTTTTTCAGCATAATTGTATATTAACCATATGAATAAATTTGAATATTGGTGGTGGTGGTGGTGGTGGTGGTGGTAGTAGTAGTAGTAGTAGTAGTAGTATT